AGTCACCGGAGTAGGGGGGTGGTGCATGTGGGGTGGGTTTATTATATTATATTATATTAGAATTAAAAAAAAAAAAAAAAAACCTGATTTTTGAAGTTTCAAACTATAAACCTTATTTTTGAATTGGTGTAAAGAATACACCTTATTTATGAATTTTTCCCTTTTGTATTTATATATCTTCTTGGGCCTGAAACCCGTGTCCAAATCAGCCACTTCTCCATCGGACGCACCCTTCAGTCCAGTCGTTGCTCCTCCGATGGTCAGGTACTGGTGAAAATATCCCTAAAATACGTCTCCAATAACAGAAAATTCCATTTGTACAAACAATGGATGACAATGGAGGTTGACAACCTCTCACATGCGTGTGGGCCCACGTGATTAAAAAATTCCAAAATAAAAAGTGGACCCCCCCTATTATGAGTGTTGGTTATCGTCCATTGTCATCCGTCATTGTACATGTAGCATGGTTGCGATTTCATCAATCATTTGAATTGGGTTCTTTCTGGGAAGATTCGGGAGCATGCAAACTTGCTATATTGCATTTTATTGCACTGAATTGAAAAACATTAAAATATTTCGTAGAAAAACTCCTTGACTTAGAAATTAGTTGTCGCCTAGTAAGGTTTTTTTAAGGATGAATATATAAACTGGCTCCTTTGCCAAAAGACTTGGCCTCTGCTTGATTTAGATGATAAATTTAATTTTTAGTATATTTTAATAAAAGTTGATGAAATTTGAGATAAAAAAATCGTAGATCCCATAAAATATGTAGTCAAAATTAATTGTTGATTTTGACTTAAATTTTAATTAAATTTTTAACTGAATCAAGCAAGGACCTGATACTAACTGATACTTAGTACAGAGCGATCGAATATCTTGATCTCATGAAATTACAACAACGGAGACTATATATTGAGATGAGATAGTACCATAGAAGAGGAGAAACTCGGCTCCTATAGCGCTCTAGGTCCATATTTGGTGAAATAAATTGGATGTAATTAGATATGGCAACTCGTAAATTCTATCATTCATAGCATATGAGATTATCTACCGTTCACCATTCGAAACATGCCATAAGTTAGCATTATTTATATTTCCTCGTTCAATATAACCTCACCTCGTTTAGATCGAGAATGGAATACAATTATATATGAAGA